TGGATGTGTAATACTGTTTTTAGAGAGGCAAAGCTTTCCTAAGCCAACACCAGGAAGATCTCAATACCAAGGACTGAATATTTAATACTTTTGAAATGACATCTGGGGAACCATCCAAGCTCTTCCTCAGAAAGAAAGAGTTGTAGTCTCCTAACTTCAACAGATTTTGAGGTCCTACTCTGTGCTGGGCTCTGAATTACATGCTAGATAGAATTTATTCAGTTTCACCTGTTTTGTTCCTGCTGTCTCTCATGTACTGGGCTGCTCCCTGGTCAGATGTAGGACCTTCAAGGAGTATGCCATTTAGTAGGAAAAGCAGCCCAGTAAATGGATAATTAAGGCCCACTGTGATAAGAAATACCACAAGTGGCACATCCATTGTTTTGAAGGAGCAAAGAAGAGATGAACTTTATCTTGGGGATTAGAATTTGAGGAGAATTCCAGAAGGAACTGAATTCCAGAAAGATACTCATACTGTACCTTTATGAAGGAAATGGGTAGGATGAAGTCCAGTAATCATGGAATAGAAATGGGCTTCAGCAATGATCATTCCCTTTACATATTAAAAGAAAGCTCTCACAGCAGTGGGTGTTAGAATCACCTGGTTCAGCTGGCTGGGAGTTCACCAGAATCCACAGGTGATGCTGATAATAGGTGCACCCCAAAAGCACATCATTTTGTTGCATTTAAAAATAATCTTAACTAAAAGAATTCCAAGGCACACTTTATGAACTTTTCTCAGATTTCCTTGATTTTGCCTCAAGAACCTTCAAGAACCTTTGTTGGACAGGTAGCTATACTCCAGTAGATGGGTTTCCACCATCTGGACTAGCCAGTATCATATCCAGAGTTTTTGCACCTTCCTGCAAGGCTTGAGTGAAAGGCCATACCCAGGAATGTGTGCACTGGTTTTTGAGAAGAACCAGATGAAGCAATCAGAAATGCAGTGTAGGTAACTTCCTTTAAGGAGAAATATGACTAAGGAAATAGGTCCCTGGAAGGAGCTCCCTTTCTCATAGACTGCTTAAGGCATCGTTTCTCCATTTGGCTTCTCCGGAGATTCACCATCTTTACCCCTAGACAGCCTGCCCTTGACTTGCTGTGTCCCTTCCAAGCTTATTGAGAAACTAGTGCTTTTCCTCCTTCCTTGTTTCACTAATTTTTATACTCACTTATTTACCCTACTTTAAAAAAAATTTAAAGAATTTAGGCTAAGACATTCAATGTATATACATTTAAGAAGAAATTTAAGTTGAGACATACTGTAGTTACAAGTGTTCTAATTCAAGTCTATCAAAATGAAATAAGTCAGTAAAAAATCAAATCCAGTCTTATAAAGGACAATAACACAAAAACCAAGAGTTTCATATAGAACACAGATTAGCTGATATTTTCTTAGGTATTTTTGACCAATACTCCCTGTAGTTCTGAGTTCACAGTCTAATTTATGAGAATAAAGAAGATTGTTAAGCTTTTTCTTTGCCCCCATTTGCCCATAAGTCCCTACCAATTCCTCCAAGAAACTGTCACTAGGAACCATTTTTATGGGGGTGGGGTGGGAAGGAGAGGGAGCAGGTGGAGGTTGTTGATTTTGCTTACCTGCTATTGTGAACTTCAAGACACTCTGATAGGTGGCTTTTAGTCAGTTCACCAACAGTGCCAGAGATAGAGGTCAAAGATGGTCAAATGTTTCTAACTTTGATTAGYATGTTTGTAGCATGGGTCTATCAAACTAAGGACCCTCTTTTCTTATTTTCTCTTTATAGTAGAAGTTTCTCTAAAAGAAATTTATTTTTGAAATCTGCTCCATATTTTTTCATGACCTAGAACATCTACATTATCACTATATGAAGACCGATTTGCTGCATAAATAAAAAAAGCAAAGGAAGCTTTCTTCCCCTTTTTCAATTTTCCTTTTTGTCAGAGAAAGATCAATTTGATGAGCCACGTTGTGCAGAGCAATTTGTGCTTTGGGAAACTTTGTTATTGAAGCTACTGCGAGTATCTGTAGCAGTTATACACATACATCTGAAAAATAATGCAATAATTTTGCTTACCTGCTATTGTGAACTCCAAGACACTGATACGTGGCTTTTAGTCAGTTCACCAGCAGTGTCAGACACAGAGGTCAAAGATGGCCAGATGATTTTAACTTTGATTAGTATGTTTGTAGCAATTTATTTAATTACTTCAAACATGATTTATCTAATTACTTCCCTATTACTCATTTCCCAAGTCATGTGTATGCCATTGTGATGTTCTGCTTTGTTGGGTTTTATATTCATGAGTAATGGGTTTTTGAAACAAGGAAGGACTGAGACTAATAAAATAATCTTGAAAATGACTTTAAAAAGAGCCCTTAATTTGGATTGCAAATTTGTTAATGTTTTTTCAAAATAGTGAACTTAAGAATTTAAATTTTTAAAATATGTTGCTAATGGATTATTAGATTGACTTAAGAATTATCTGTGTTGCTTTATCTTATTAAAGAATATGTTGTTGCAGAAATATGCCTATTTTCATACAGGTTCAGTTCTAAAGGGCATATCAGCTATCCTTTTAAACTTCAAGTATGTGTTTCATCACAGAAAACACTATTTACACTCATTCATTTTGACTTACTATTACAGAGTTAACTCACTAGAAGTCTGACAGGCAAGGTTTTCTTTTCTTTTTAAGTTAGCTGCTTTATGGGGAATATGCCATAGGCCATTGATAGTCCTTTTACTAGGATGCTTTTCATAGTATCCAGACAAATCATGTAGAAGTACTTAACATTTTTGGAACTTTATATTTTCTTTATACAAGGTGCAGAAGTAAACTCCCACTGAGCTTTTCAAAATGCTTTGCTGATTTGCTGATTCTGAGGAGGCAAAGTGAATAAACAAGATACTGTTATCTTGTTTATTAATGTTGGGTAGATTAGGGGAAATTAAAGAGAAGGACTCCATAGTATCCTGAAGATTTCTGTTCAAGAGCCTAACAAAATGACAATTGAATTTATTCCTGCTGTTWTAAATGTAGTATGTTCAAATTAAGAAATTTGAAGAATGTAGAAACAGTAAAAAGAAGAGGAAAATACAGTATCATCAGGCAGAGGTAATCATTACTAACATCTTATATATTTTGTATGTACATTCTTTAAAGAATTTGGTTTAGGTGTATTTTATAGTCATAAACATACTACATSTTTGTATTCCATTTAGTGTTAGATTTTTATTAAGTTATCACCCAAACATTTTTCTAAGTCCTTACAAATGCTTCATAACCATTCATTTTAATCTGTCTACTATGGCTACACCATGATTTATCTAATTACTTCCCTATTATTAGAYATTTAGATCATTTTCTAATTTATACTACTATAGATATAAAGTATTTAATAGAGATTTTTGTTGAAATATAATACAGTTTATGTACTTATACATAAGTGTAAAGCATTTTGAAATTTTTACCAGTCAACAYGTCACTGAAACTGTCTGTATCAGTGAATTATTTCTTAACTGAACACACCCATGTTACCACTACTAAATCAAGAGATAGAACTTTACCAAGTCCCCTAAATGCACTCCTGCATTGTGCCCTGCAATCATCATTCCCTTCCTCTTGTTCCAAGGTAACTAACTACTAACTTGACTCATAATATATCAATTTTGCTTTGAATGTCTTTAGTTTAAATAATTTCCTTTAAAATTTCCAGAAGTAAAGTATGAATATTTAAAAATATTAGTTAATATAATCAATAATTTTTATAAAAATATCAAATCATTTTTCCACCATATTATATACATAATGCAAAGGATTATTTTTTCCTGCATGTGGGAAGGAAGAAAGATCAGGCTCAATGTTAAAGAGACAACATTCTGGACAGGGAATAAGATCAATTGAGGCCATATTGCTTTGGAGAAATCTCAGCAATCTGCTTCCAACTTCTGTTACCCAGCTAGAAAATGCTTCTCTTTTTCTGGACATAGCTAATCATGGCACATTTAAAAAGATGAGCATGGTAAGCTATACTGGTTCTTAATGCTTCTGGACAAAAATAACATATGAACATCTACCCACATTCATGGCCAAAGAAAAGCACATGAGTTCAGTAGGTCATAGAGTCCATATATCCTCATACAAGGAGAGGTATTATAGGAAGAGAAACGGAAATATTTGGCAAACAATCATACTGTCCAAACAATCATACTATCCACTATATCTTTCATTGAGGAAGTTAGWTTGTTTAGATTACTCATCTTTTTATAATAAGATTTTTATCTTATTATCGAAATACTTCCTGGTCTTGGGGAACCTGCATTTCTACATAGGGCTATACCTTCTGTAATCATTAATTGGGTGGTTACATACTGTTGAACTTTTAAGGGTTGAACTTTTGGGGGCACAAACAACTTTTCCAAGAAGAGGCCCAGAAACACACATTCATTAAGAGGTAATGGGGAAATGCTATGTTTATTAAGCACTTCAGGTTAAAAAAAAATCTTCATTAGGAAACAAGGTTTTTCTTTGTTTTTTCTTTTTTAGTAGCTGAAAACTTATATGTTCTGCTTATGTGTGCAAGCAAATGTTCAGTAAATGGTTTCCTAGTTCATAGGCAATGATACTTGCAGGACAGTGGATGTCTTCTCCCTGGCACAGCAAAAGAGCTGGCTTGGTGCTTTCAGCTTTCACAAGACATTTGCTTCAGGTTATCAGGATTGACTTTTTGTTATGGTTAACACCATTTCCTATCATAAATTTGTGTTCTTCTTTATTGCATTCTTCTTGATTTTTTCCATAGCAGATATTTTGTGGTGTTGAGAACATTAGGCRTTGCTAATTTCATGTTCTCTTTGTCTTTATTAAAACATGAATACCTTCTATCAGGACCCTCTGCTGCTCAGTTACACAGTCTCACAGTCATGAGGGTAGCGTGCTTGTACTAGGTAAAATATAATACAGTTTATGTACTTATACATTGATTTAACATGATGTCTCTCTTTCATTTCCCAAAGGTCTCTTCTCTCTAGGGATGGTGAAGTTGGGAAAAGGTTCCTTTAACCCTTCTCCGGGATGAACCACCTGCCAGACATGGAGAATACACTCACTGGGAGCCAGAGCTCCCATGCTTCTCTGCGCGAAGTCCACTCCATCAACCCCACACAACTCATGGCCAGGATCGAGTCCTATGAAGGAAGGGAAAAGAAAGGCATATCCGATGTCAGGAGGACTTTCTGTTTGTTTGTCACCTTTGACCTCTTATTTGTAACATTACTGTGGATAATAGAGTTAAATGTAAGTTGATTTTTTTTCATGACTTTTGTAAGAACTGACTCCAGAAACAAAAATGTATTCTTCAAATAAACTTTTTATGTATCATTTAGTGAATTTCATCTTTTTCCAGATGATGCAGCATTGTTCTTCTCCATCAGATTGAGATCTTATTCTTTAGTATCATTGTTTGAAACAAATGAGTAAATTTAAAGTTCACTTTGGCTTTTTGAAATTTGAATTCCTAGTGTTTTGCTCAATAATAAGAGTTGACAAACTTTAGGCTGTGGGATAAATTCAGTTGGCATGTCTTAGCAAAGTTTTGTTGGAACACAGCTATGCCCATTTGTTTATATATGCCTATGGTTTGACTTTGTGTGTAAGTAGTTGGGTTAAGTAGTTAAGCCAGAGACCTTCTRGCCTAAGAGGCAAAAATAATTATTTCCTAGACCTTTTCATAATGAATTCACCAACTTCTCCTAAAAAATACACAAAATGCTTCTGAAATGTTTTAGCTATTACATCTACTTTTCTAGTGCCATTGCTGCAGATTTTGTATATTTTTTTTCAGAGATCACTTTTTCATATTATATCAAGTAAGTTTTCTTAGAGGCATTTGGACATATGCAATTATATTACCAAATAATTGCCTCCATCAGTGTTGCCTGTTACAAATGTAATGCATAATTTAAAGCATATAATTTAAGATTCTATAGTTGTTACAGTAATAAAAGTTAAAATAAACAAGAGAAATTCATTATAATTACATATTTTATTTAACCTGATGTGCCTACTTTCTCCCAAAGCTCTGGGTCAGGTGATTACATTTTTCCCCAACTAACAATGGGTTCTTCCTGAAGGCTTCCCTCTCAGCAACACTCTTGCCTTCATCAACACAACTCATTGATTGCATTCATCAGCCACTCTTGCTTCTTTTTGCTCTCAGAATGTAACAACAGGCTCCTTTTTGTCTTGGGTCCTCTATACTAGTAGTTTCCTCTGTATGAGGAATAAATAAATTCCTTTATTCTTTTGTAGATTCTGATATCCTATCATTCTGAAGTCAGTTTAAATGTCACCATCATTCTGTCAGACTGTCCTGCTTCTGTTTTCTGTATAGCACTTATTTTCTTACTTGTCCTCTCTCCTGCCTTGCTAGGATGCACGCTAATGAAGACAGAGATATTGTTTTGTTTTCAGAAGTTTCTTTACTTGAAACAGTGAGTGTCTGGTACTCCATGGGTGCCCAGCAAATATTTAACAAATGGACAAAGATCATTGTGGTAGTGGTGTGTAGCTTGATTACATTAGTGGCAGGTTAGCACTATAAGAACACTAACTCAGGAGCTGTTGAAAGAATGCCATTTGAGGTTGTGTGAATAGGAGGGAAGAGCTCACCTGAGAAGCAGAAGACTTGCTGACAATCTGATTTTATCCTCCCTAGTAACCAAAGATGACTCTCAACTTTTTAATGATGGACTTAGAAATTGTCCCTGTGCCAAAATGCTTGGGACCAGAAGTTTCAGATTTTGTATTTAAAATTTCTCAGTATTTTCTTATATATAATGAGATATCTTGGGGTTGAGACAAATTCTAAACACAAAATTTATTCATATGTATTTTATATACATCCTGAAGGTAATTTTGTACTGTTTTTCGAGGGCCTGCATTTGGGATGAGAGATCAAATGTGGAATTTTCCACTTGTGGTGAGAATGCCAGTGCTCAAAATGTTTCACGTTTTGTAGCATTTCAGATTTTATATCTTTGAATGAAGAATGGTCAGTTTGAACCAGAAAGAATTTGATTTGGTGTGCAACTATAGTCAGTCAATTTGACATACTTAGAGCTAGACAAAGATTGTGGAATAAGGATTTAGAATGTAAGTTTTTAGGTAATAAATCCTAAATATCTTATTGAAAAACACAAAGTCAGGGTCTTTTTTAAAGTGAGAAGATACCAGAGGAAAACTTTTTCTACTGGCAAAACCATGCTGACAGCTTTGATTCCTGCTGTCTTGGGAACAGAAGCAGAGTGAGGGGGTGGTCACAGTGGTAGAGAACCCTCTTTGCCATGGACTACTCAGAATAATTATTCTCTTAATATTCTGGATATTGGAATGTTTCCTTAGTTTGGAGAGACAAAGCAATGTAAATAGATGGTCGGTTGGTCTTTAGTGATTTTTCCTTGTGACCAGGCTTTCAGTTCTATTTATTTATAGAAATTTATAGCCAAGCAGGTACAAAATCAATTTGTACTAATTTTAGAAACCTAAAACTCCTTCAGGTATTTTAAGGTACAGAATAGTATTAATGGTTTGTTTTCACTTGGATAACAAATACAAATCCATGAAAAGGTAGTTAAGCTAAGACCACCCTTTCCTTGTGACATTTTAATTTGACAAATTAGGGAATCTTGCAAAGGTATTTCTTGTTCTTTCCCTCTTATCCAATTGCCTGGTCAATTGCACTTTGTTTTGTCCTTTTTCAGAGCATCTCTATTTGTTTGCCAGGACTTTGTTCAGAATTAGAAGCTTGAAGTTAATGTTTCATATCACATTCCTTCTGACTAGGCTGGTCCATGGGCTCTCACCATTAAGAGAGTCTGTCTGGTACTCTGTCCATGGCCTGTCATATGTCCCTTTACTTGATTTTCTTAAAAGAAAAAAATATATATGTATGTGTGTGTGTGTGTGTGTGTGTGTGTGTGTGTATGTATGTGTGTGTGTGTGTGTGTGTGTATATATATATATATATATCCATCCATATATGTGTGTGTGTATATATATACATATATATGTATGTGTGTATATATATATATATATATATCCATATATATATATATATCCATAGTTTAATTTGTAAAATTTTAAACTTGATAATTTAAAATTCATTTTCATGGTAGAATTGGGGGGGGGGACAGAAAGTTTATCTTGTTGGGTTTGATTTTCACCATTTACTGTAACTGTCACGTGTTTCCAATTTTGTTATCCAAGTTATATATGTAAATTGATAAGAGTAGAGAATTTTATTTTTTATTTTTTATTTTTAGTTACACATGACACTAGAATCCACTTTGATATAATTGTATAAACATGGAATATATCTTATTTTAGTTAGGATCCAATTCTTGTGCATGTACATCATTATGGGATTCACTGTGGCGTTCCCATATATGCACATGGGAAAATTATGTCAGATTCTCCACTGTCTTTCCTTTTCCTATCCCCCGGCTTCCCTCCATTTCCCTTTGTCTAATCTATTGAAGTTCTGTTATTCCTCCCCCCATCCCCGACTTAATTGTGAGTTACCCTCCACATATCAGCAGAAACATTTGACCTTTAGTTTTGACTTATTTCACTTAGCATGAAGAGTTTAGAATTTTAAAATGCCAGGAGCAAAATAAAAAGATGAAAAAATAAAGAGAATTTTTATACTTCTCTTATGTGTCTTGCTAATTGTCCTCATTTATGTTTGCTGTAAGATCATGGGAGCCTGAGCCTTCCAGAACCTAAAACTATTGGTCTTCAAGTGAAGAAGGCTTGAATAAATGTGCCTTCTTTAAAAGCATGTATGTATATATATGCTTGAAGACTTTATTTTAAAAGAGAAAATATGATTTTGAATATTTTAGTATTTAAAATATGAATTGCAAAGTCATTGCTCCTTAGTATACATTTATATCTTTTGCATGAATGAACTGTGAAGAAGTGGGAAGTGCTGTTGTTCAGCCTTTTAAAATTATGAGGCTTCTTTTCTTCCAAACATTTCTGGGTTCAAGACTGGTAGGAAAGTATATGGGAAACCTCACTTTTGTTTCATTTTCTCAAGTAAATCACTCCTTGTTTTTGCTTTTTACTCTTTTTCCTAGGTGAACGGAGGCATTGAGAACACGTTAGAGAAGGAGGTGGTGCAATATGACTACTACTCATCTTATTTTGATATATTTGTGAGTATTTTCTTTTGTAACTCCTTACAAATAGAATGACAACAAAAGACAATTTTTCTTAAATAGGCCTAAAATTTGATGCCATTTTTTTCTACCTTGCATGTAAACTGTATTCCTTTTCTCTGAATTACTCACTAAGGAAGTGTCTAATCATTGCAAGGAAAGAAAAGAAGAGTGACAGATAAAGAGAGGGCAGAAGGAATCATTCCCATGTTCTAGATGAGAGCACACAGCTCAAGTAGAACCTTTTGACATGTCCTAGCCACTGAAAGGCAAATTCACCTGCTTTCATGATAGCCTGATAAAAATGCTATTTCTTTTCTAGATTGTTCCTTTTTGTTAAGGAGAAATTAATCTGACATCTTACTTCGGTTACTTTACTTGAGGATCTGGGGTAGGCAGTCCCACATGCTGGCCTAGGAGTCAGCGCCCATTGGGGGCAATCTGCAATTGCACTAGAATGGTGTATTTAAAATATGTATTTTAAAATATATTTTATTATATGTATTTTAAATTACTTGTATTCTTTACCTTTGTTTTTTGGTCCAGCTTTTGGCAGTTTTTCGATTTAAAGTGCTGATACTCGCATATGCTGTATGCAGACTGCGCCATTGGTGGGCAATAGCGGTGAGTGTGCCATGATGAGCTGGTCATCTCCTCTGGGGTTCTGACCAGGGCCTGTGCACAACAAGCCCGAGTTGGGAGAAGAGATGTGGTTTTAACCAGACAGAATTTCACTAGCAAATTTCACTAATTCTTCCTGAGTCCCTTTCCTCCCTGGCTTTATTAGGTTTAATTCTCCAGGTCTTCTTTCTAATGTTAAAGAGTAATCAGGTTCATTTCTAAGATGCTGAGTCAAATGAGGACTCTGGAGGTCCAAGAATGATGATTAGCCAAACATCCATCTACCCTGTGTTTCATGTTGCTGAAGAGATAAAAACAGGATCCTCTGTCCCAGAAATATTTAGAAAATTCTTTTGTTAAAACTGCCTAGGTTTTTAAAGATTTTATCTCTGTTTATTTTGATAATCACTTTCYCCCTCCTTTACCCACTTCCCCCATTCTGGAAGAAGAAGCTTCTAAGCTCATTCCTGTTCCCCCTAGCTTCATGAGGATAGTGATATYTTTACTTATCTCTTTCCTAGCTTTTAGCACAAAGCTTGGACACATGGTATTCATCATCAGTAAACATTAAGGGATTAAAAGAATTAGAAGCATTTCTGCCTGGATGTTTTTTGCCATTTCCACAGATGTTCAGAATACATTGGGGGTGAGGGGCAAGAGAATGTTGAATCTTCGAAGCTGGAGAGAACTGCATAGGAATATCCCCAAACCCTGCTGTTTGAGGGCTCTGGCTTGTCCTCGTGGGAATAGGAGCTGTGCTGCCTTCTGCAGACTAAGTACCAGGGCCATATCTGCCTGGGTCATTTCCTCTTAACATTCCCATCGTCACATGATGGAGGTCAGAACCTACATTAATACAGAAGCTCTCATTTGAGGGATGTAGTGGACAGTCTAGGCACACTTGATTCCCAAATACTCTAGCTCATATCACACTACCTTGTGATGATCGCATATTCCAATTTTCTTTAACAGCCCCATGGAAACGTTCTATTCCAGAGTTTCCATGATGGAGAATACTGTGCCAGACCATTTGTCTTAGTATTTATTTTAGAAAAGTGATTGACGTGCAGACATGYAATGATAAAGCATCTTTAACAGATACTTTCAAATGATCTTTTAAGAATAGATTTGATTTAGGAAATCCATTTTACTGTTTCTGATTCATGTTTAAAACATTTACAGAGAGAGTCCTAAAAGGAGGAGAAGTCAGCTGGTACCTAAAGAACACTTAGTGCCAGCCTGTAAAGTAAACCAGCATTAGGGCGTGAAATGTCTCCTCTCCCAGACAGCTCACTCTGGGGTATGTGTATGTGTGTGTGCACGCCCGCGCCTGCAAGCAACTTGTTAACACTTACTAAGCAAGATCCTTGATATTCCCTGGCCTCCATTCTGTCATACTGCTGTTAGCATTGACTGTGGTCAGGTTTCATCATGCTAAAAATATTAATTGGAAGTGAAAGTGACAAGGCTCTGGTATGGTAGAATTGCTCTGGGCTTCATAACCTCTATGGAAAGCCTTGTCTGTACATTTTCACAAATTTGTTGTATGTGACTGAATATTGTAACTTCTKATAGATAAAGTGTAGTTTTCTAACACATCAATCTGCTAAAACTTGGGAGAAGAAATACCATAAGCAGCCAATTGGCAATTATGTGCCACATCTAAGCCCATTTGGCCCTGGTCTGKGTGTAGGGGACTGATATAGAGTAATATGGGAAGGAATCAGGCCAAGAATAGGTGTTGCCTGCTCTTGGCTTAAATGGGTCTCTGATATGAGGGAGGTGCCTTCACAATGAGAAATGTCTAATTTGAGCACTGCTACATTGTGTCTTTCAGTTAACAACAGCAGTGACCAGTGCCTTTTTACTAGCGAAAGTGATCCTTTCAAAGGTATGGCCTCCCCCTTTTCCTGTACCATTGTCCTCTGCACTGATGAAGCCTCATTTCCCAGTGTGAGCTGATAGTGACTGCCTCCCTTCTCCTGGTCACACCTGTTCTTCCAGCTTTTCTCCCAAGGGGCGTTTGGCTATGTGCTGCCCATCATTTCATTCATCCTCGCCTGGATTGAGACATGGTTCCTGGATTTCAAAGTGTTACCTCAAGAAGCAGAAGAAGAAAACAGTAAGTTTCTGTGAAAGTCAGCCTCCAGAGTCTACTAGTTCACTACCAAGTAGCAAGGAAGAGATGTGGCTTCTGGATGTGAGGGGAACCTCAAGGGGGTAGAGTGAGTGAGTCAGTCACAGCATCTCTATTCTTCATTGGCWATAGCAAAATGTAGAGAAGGGTTGGGTAGGTGAGTGGATGGCAACAGGAAGTGATTCTTCTTTCTGGCTGTCAGGCCAGGCTTCCCCAAGAGAAAATATGGACACTGGCTAAAAAGTCGTTCAAGAAACAGCTACTTTGCGTATGGTTTCATTTTGGAAAATCTCATTAACAAAATCTCAAAAAAATTGGTACCACCTCATTCTGCTTGGGAGGTTGACCTTTTCTCATTGTTGATAATCATCATACAACACTAAACATTTTGTGCATATAAATGGAACTATCCTGTTTAGGGGTAGAAATTTTTAAACAATTTTAAGTGAACGAATCAGCAATTTTCAACAAAGTCTGTGGTTCTCTAACGTGTCATATTGATATGTATACAGTAGGTGGTGGCCTACTATGGGTTGGRTATAATTAATATAATGAAGGCTTAGAGCTGGGACCATAATGATGCAGGTGAAGTTGAGAGGGGAAAAACTACAGTCCCATAGCCCGAGCAGTGCTCAGCCCTCTCACATGACAGCTAGCATGGTGTACTCCTGAGCCCTGCTGAAACTGTTGTTATCCCATTGCTTGGTTTTCAGTGTACCAGGATGTTGAGTAGGAAGGACAGATGAACTGTTGAGCTGTACAGTTAATTATTGGGCTGGGATCTTTTTCACATGGTGCCTTAGTGGAGGCTCATGTGTCCTGCCTACCCCTCTCTGAGTTGAAATAGCCAAGATCAATTTAGACTCCCTTGCAGTTTCCAGATCTCCTACCTCCTTGAACTTATCCATCATCTGGCTCAACATGCTGTGCCTCATAGAGAAAAAAATCTTGTATCTTACAGAGTCTTAGTCATAATTATAGTTTCAAAAATGACAGGATGAACAATAGCTTTGCACAGTTTGATTTTGGGAAATCTCTTCAGTAGGAAAAAAACCTATAAGAAAAGAGTTATAGTTCAAGAGTAGATTTWAAAAAAATATAAATCAGTGGTCCAAGATGTATTTTCTATCCTGTGCCCCCTTTTCCTTTATGAAAGCATCGTGTGGAGAAAAAATAGGTAAAGCTAAAGAATGTATGGAAGTTTATTTTAATTGTATATAAACATCATATTGAACTTAATTGAATCGTGAACTTTTAATATGACTAAAGTTTGGACTGAACCAATTCCACAGTGTCCAATAAAGCTGAACATAGAATTATTAGATTTTGAAAACAACATTTGCTTCTATTGTCAGTAGCAGAGAGGACACATGTACCTGGCATCTGCTGTCTGGGTGCTTCCTCCCACTGTCTCCTAACATTTGCTCAGTCCTCAGCCAAAGTAGTCAATTGTTAATGTTCTTCATCATGTGTTAGTGTTCTGGAGTTTCATTGTCTTCCCCTTGCTTTTTAATGTCCTTCTTTTGTTTGCAGATCTTTTTTTGCATAGGTGTTTCTTAATCAACTTTACTTCTTTTTACATACTTATAAAAGGCCAGCTCTATATTATGCTTGATACCTGGCATTTCTCTAAACACATGCAGATGGTGTACCATTTGTACAGACTGACTGGGTTTTGATTTCACTTTGTAGTTGTTTTGATTTTTGGGAATAAGGGATTAATAAGGGAAAGATGCTCTAAATATTGAGTTGAAGGAGTAACATGAAACAGTTTTTTTGAACTACTTTATTTTCTATTTTTATAGTATTGGTTCATAGTTTATTAATGAAAGCTTTATTTTTTGTTGAAAGATTTTGAGAATATCTCTTTTTACCATTTATAATATTTAATTTTTGCCAAGAACCTACCAGGAATGTGATACATTCACAGATCTCAATTTCTTYTTTTCCAGGACTCCTGATAGTTCAGGATGCATCAGAGAGGGCAGCCCTCATACCTGCTGGTCTTTCTGATGGTCAGTTTTATTCCCCTCCTGAATCTGAAGCAGGTAAAAATTTGATTACCATTTTTGTTTTTATCTATCAATTAAAAGCTCTTCCCTCCAACCCTCTCACCACCCTTTCTGTTTCTCAATATAGTTAGCAAACATTTAGCACACCAGGATATGTAAGACATGACCTTACATGTTACCAGTGGTGAGACAAAGAGATCTAAAAATGAATGCCCTGGAGGGACACAAACACTGTGACTTGCTATCTCCATCTCAGAAGACAAGTAGACTAGGGAAGGTTCTTGAACTCTCTTTCATTGCCTTTCATCCTTAAGTCAACCTTCCTGTGTAATTGCCCATGGCCGMGAATTGCAGCTCGTTCCACCAGATATCCAAGTCAAAAACTGAGCCTTGAGTACTCCCTACTTTCTTCTGGCTGATATCTTCTTGTTCATAAGGATGTGTGATCCTTTTTTTTTTTTTCCCTGCCTCTGTCATCTTATTTCTGTCATAACACTCCCTGGCAGCTCCAACCCCAGTTCAGCGTTCCTTACTTCAACTTCCGTCACAGCTTCTCTCTCCATACCTCCCTTTCCCCCTCACTAACTAACTACCACTGTTCTCAAAACAGTGGCTATCAAAAACCAAAAAACATCCTGACTAAATGTGGAAAGGTCTTAAACAGATATTTCTCTATGAAGATAAATAGATGGCTAGTCAGCACATGAAAAGATGCTCAATACCACTAATCACTAGAAAAATGAAAATCAAAACCATAATGAGATACTATACCTTGTAGGATGACTGTTAATATATATTAGAAAAGAAGTATTGGTGTGGAAATAAAGAAATTGGAACTCTTATGCACTGCATTTGAGAATGTAAAATGGTATATATAGTTTCTACAGGAGGCAAGATGATATTTCCTCAAAAAATTGAACATAGAATTAGTTCAACTGTTATACTTCTAGATCTATATCCAGAAGAAATGAAAGCAGGAACACAATCATGTATTTGTCTTCCTATTTACAGAGTAGCATTATTTATTATTCATAGTAACCAAAGGTAGAAACAACTCGAACGGCCACCAGCAGATAAATGAATAAACAAAATATGATGTATACATCCAATGAAATATTGCTCAGTCATAAAAAGGAAAAAAAATTCTGACACATGCTCTAACATATATGAACCTTGAACATATTATCCTAAATAAAGTAAGTGAGGCACATAAGGACAACTAGCACATAAAGAATTTAATGAAGTACCTGGAGTAGTCAAGTTCACAGAAACAAAGAACAGTGGTTCCCAGGGACTAAGAACTTTGGGATGCATGGTAGTAATGATTGCACAACAAGGTGGACGTATTTAAAGCAAGGAGTGGTGCACTTACAAAGAGCTAAAATGTCAAATTTTATTTTAATTGTATTTTGCCACAATTAAAAATATTTTCAAAGTTACTAATACTCTATAGGTGCTTAGTGCTGTTCTCAGGTCTTTAGAACTGAAATTCACTCATTTTCTCCTCTTAACCATACTAAGATATAAGACTTGATTATTTCCAACGTGGAGATAAGAAAATTGAGGCACAGAGAATGGAAGCAGTTGCTCAGCATCACACAAATAAGGCTCCACTGCTAGGGTTTATGGTCATAACTGCTAAAGTCTGCAGCCTTTTGGTATTTGTGAAAATGCAAAATTGATCCTGTCAGTCGCCTGTCCAAAAGCCTTCAGTGGCATAAAGGATTCATAATTGAATAGTCTCGGAGYCTGGAAGAAAGCACCTCTGTTCCCACTCTTACTCAGTTGTCCAACTTCTTATCTCCTTTACTGCCTTCTTGTGTTTGTAGCTTTTCTGAAAATGCTGTGTTGCATCTTCTCTTGATATTCTCCATATCATGTCTCCACCACATATTCCAAAGACCTCTGCACAACGTTTTCTACCCATCCCATCACTCCTGGAAGTCTTGGTCAGGTGGCCTTTGCCTGGTCTTTGGTACCTCTATTCTAGCCCTGTCATCTTGTGCTGCCTGCACTATCTTCATCTGTGACCTGGTTTGTTTCTACCATGGGACGTAAGCTTGATTTAGAGTCTACTTATTATATGTCCAACATCCAACACGAGGAGTGTTTTACACACTATAATAAAACAGACTCCTGGTAGAAAGAGCTGTGTGAATGATGGTAAACTATTGGTATGKGATCTACAAGTAGTATAAAATACAAAACTATAAATCCACAAGAGATACAGATGTGGATTAGCAGAAAATCTGTTTCTGAGACAATAGTAATTAAAATTAAGTATTAATGTTTTTACTACCAAATTATAAGTGCTGTTTCTTTCTAATACTTTATGTCATAGGATTAATACTTTAAAAAAAAGAGGTGGGGCAGTTCATAATGTATTTCATGCCATTCTACTTTTTCTAAGACTATTCCAACTTGTTAGCTAATTCTTTTTCTAAGACTAATGCGGTTTCCCAGTTCTACTGTTTTTTCTTATACATGAGGAATTTCACCTCAGGCATTCCCTCCCCATCAAGCTTTGCACTGGTAGATCCCATGGCTTCTGCCTGTGACATTTGCCACCACCTAGTGGTCCTCTGGGGCATTACTGTTTCACTGAATCATAAATCTGCACAAGAACCAAAACATTTTCATAGTATTCCACTAGGTGGCTGCTTTGTTTAGACAAAAGGCAGATTAGTAGTGATGGGTGAAGAGAAGTGCCCCTAAGGCCTTGCTATATTGTTTTTGGTTTTTTTTTTTTTTTGCATTGCCTGTTCAGTTCAGGAAAAAATTAGAAGTGAAAATTATTATTTGAGGTAATGTGCCTAAAGAAAGAACACTCTATTCTTATTATGCCTGTAGCTAAAAAAAAAAATCAGTCTTTTAGTAGCTGATTTTTTACTAGACATGGGGGCATCTGAAAGGTTTGGCTTCCTTTCTTGTCTTTTTTTTTTTTAATCCAGCATCTAATGCAGTACCTGGCACATAGATTTATAAGTGTTGAAGGGTTAGATAAAAATAAGAGAGAAATTGAGGCATCACACATAAAAGTGTCAGCATTTTTCTTGTCACTGATCAACTTGAATTTTAGACCWGTAAATTAGGATACTAGCACATTTTAGAAGATGTACACTTAAGGGCTAGAAAAGTAATTTGTGTGCAGGCTTGCTAACCACGTCCTAAAACCCGCGAATTAAATGGAAAGAACAAGGAAACAAAGCCCTCTTTGGATGACTAGAAGCTGTCATCTGTGGTCAGAGAGCTAGAATGAACCAAGCATGATGCTAAGGACAGAATAATTCACCTCTTGACCAATTTAAAATGTGGAGTAGCTCAATTACATGATGTCATCTGTTCTAAACAGGTTTAGATAAAGGCATTAAAATACCAGTTTAATACCAACCAAGAATGACTATCCATTCTAAATTGCCTCGCCTTTCCTGTCTCCTTGTGTGATTATTAGAATCCCTTTCATTTCTCAGAAGTGTTCTTATTCAGATGATCAATCCCATGATTACATTATGTATAGTGAACAGATTTAAAACACAATTCTTTCCTACCTTTGAATTAAAATTTTGAAATTTTAAAATATTGAAAACTCATTGTGATGAATATCCCAAAACATTGAATTTTAAGAAACTATGGAGGTATAATTTTCATACTATAAAATCCATTGTTTGTGAATGTATAATTGCATGATTTTTAGCAAATGTATAGTTTTTTTCATCAGCATCACAAGATAATTTTAGAAAATTTTATCATTAGAAAARCTTCTTTCATGTTCATTAACCCCTGCCTTTGTATCTCATTCTGAGTAACACAGATCTGCTTTCTGTCTTGACAGATTTATATTTTCAGGGCAGTTCATATAACTGGTCATACTACATGTAGTTTTTGCATTCTCCTCCTTTTGCTTAGTGTAAAGTTTTTGAGGACCAGTTATGTTGTAGAACATATCAGTAGTTCTCTTTTATGGCTGAATACTGTTCCATGGTGTATCTGTACAACATTTTTGCTTACTTTCCAGCTAATGGATGTCTAGGTTATTTCCAGTTTGGAGCTGTTATGAGTAACTCAGCTATGAACATTCACATATATGTGTTTGTGGAGACATTTATTGTTATTTTTCTTGAATGGATTTCTAAGGATTTGCTGCCTCATATGATAAATTTAACTTTTTAAGAAATTGCTGAACTATTCTTACRTGGTTGCACTATTATACATTCTTTCCAGCAACATATATGGATTTCAGTTTCTCCATATCATCACTAACACTTTGGTATCCTCTGTCTTTTTTATTGTAGCCAGTCTAACAGAGGTAAAGTAGTTCCCATGTGGTTAAGCTTAATGTCCCTAATGACAAGAGATCTTTTCCATTATATATTAATCATGTATCTTCTTTGGAGAAATCTGTATTTCAAGATTTTTTGACTTATTTTCTTACTATTAAGCTGTATCTACATTGTAGATAAAAGTTCTTTATCAAATATATATGATTTGCAAATGTTTGTCTCCTGTTTGTCTTTTCACATTTTCATATGGTATTTTGAAGCACAAGTTTTTAATRTTTTTTTTATTAGTTGTCCAAGACAATACAATGATCTTGACATATCATACATTTGATTCAAATAGGGTATGAATTCTCATTCCACGTGTACAGATTGCAGGATCACGTTGGTTATACACCCATGTATATACATACAGCAATCCTAGTATCAGTTGTATTCTGCTGCCCTCCTTATCCCACCCCCTCCCCTCCCATCCTATTGTCTACCCATTCTACTGTGACACTTATCTCTCTCTCTCTCTCTCTCTCTCTCTCTCTCTCTCTCTCTCTCTCTCTCTCTCTCTTTTCCCTTACCTTCCAATGGATACTATATTTGAGACCTCAAATGTAGTGAAGATTTTTCTCTTGTGTTTCCGTCTAGAAGATTTTGTAGTGTGTCTTCTTTTAATTAAAGTTATGATACATTTTGAATTAATTTTCATATATTTAGGCACATTTGTCAAAAATCTGTTGGTTATAAATGTGCCAAGTCAATTTTTTTTATTTCCTTGAATCTTCTTGGCTTCTTTTTCTACCTTTTAAAGTAGATTATTTTTTGATTGACTTGAAAACTTTCTTTTCTTATATAGTCAATTAAAGCCATACATTTTTCCTGTATACATTGCTTTATTGGTATCTCATAAACTTTGACATACCATATGTTCATTTTCATGTATTCCTTGGTTTTCAGCAAGTTTAGAGTGATATTTTTGTGGATCTCTGTATATGTCCTGATTCCTGAACCTTTAGCTTATTAAATGTATAGATTAYTATGTCTCAGAAATGTAGGAAATTTTTGCCATTATCTTTAAATATTTTCTAGATTTTTTTTCTTTTTTCTTCTTCTGGAACTCCCCAATGCCCATTTATTGGTATGCTTGATGTTATTTCAAAGGTCTCTAAACTGTATTTAATTTTTCTTCAGTCTTTTGCTTTCTCTGTCTCAGAATGGATCATTTCTGCCAGCCCTGTCTTCATGTATACCAGTTCCTCTGCTGTCTTGAATATTTTCTTGATTCACAAATATATTATTGCACTTAATGTTTTTTTTCACTTCAGAGTTTTTATAAATAATAATGGGATTCATTACACCATATTTATACATGCAAGCAGCATAATTTGATCATTCTTATTCCCCTGTACCTTCTCTTTCCCTTGCCACTGCCCCTGAACCACTTGCTCTACTAATTCTTCTGTTTATTATTATTATTTCAATTAGTATATTATAATTACACATAAAAGCTATATTTATTGTAATATATTTGTACATAGACATAGCATAGTTTTATAGATGTTTTTCCCCCGCTACCTCCCCATTCCCTCTCCCCTCTCCCCATTTAAATCCCCCTCCTCTACTTTGTTGGTCTACTTCTGTTAGTTATTTAAATTGATTCTCTATTGTTCTTTGAACATATTTGTTAATATTGCTTTGATTTTTTTTTTTTTTTTTTTTTGCTAAGTACAGTATTTGGAGACACTCAGAGATGGTTTGCTTTGGTGTTTTTGTATTTTTTTTAGAATGTTCATACTTGCCTAATCCTCTACATGTCTTATATTTTCTATTGAAAAGTAATTTGTCGAAAATATATTGTAGCAACTCAGGATTCTCATTTTTCTCCCAAAAGGTTGTTGTTGCTATTTGTTCATTTGCTTAGTAAATTATTCATGAAATTGTATTCCCTGGGCAATGTGGTTACATCTATCTTTTCTCATTTTTTTTTAAATTTACTTCCTTTTTTTTTTAAGTCTTGGTTTGTTTTTAAAACCAAGCTTCCTATGGGTTCCCTGTGTCTACAGAGTACCTGGCTGGATTAAGTACCTGTCTCAAGTACCTGAATTAATGCTTCCATCCTGCCAGAAGAAAATACACATGGTTTGAGTGTCACATTCAAAGTTCAGGCCATTTTCAGATCTTGCATAGGTTTTTGTTTTTGCTGAGACTTTGTGTGTTCTCTGAGGATGCTCATAGTTCAAGGTATCTGGCTAGTTTGAGCTCTCTTGGGTTTTCCTTGTGCATGTGAAAAGACCCAACCAAGCATATGCTTGCTCCAACCATGACCACAACCTCTGACTAGCAGAGCAGCTGCCCTGCCTGCTTCCTGGGATTTTCCATCCATATTGCTGGCCACTAGCATGGCTCTGCCCCCAAACTAAGTGAGCTTCTTTCACCTGGATGGCTTTGCTGCCAGTCCCCAGAACCTCCATGCCATTGAGCTGGGTGTTGGGCATAGGAGGAGGAACAGGAGAAGCTCAGGAAGGAGCAGCACTGTTGTTCCTGAATTCTGCTGTTTTCACACATAAACCAGTCTCCAGTTGTATATGCCTTTGATMATTTGCAGAGGGTGAAATGCTTTCAGTTTTGTCCATTTTTCCAACTTTTATAGRTGCTTCTCATATGGAAAGATTGTATTGAACCCCCTCACTAGGCCATAGCTAGAGGGTCTTTTAAAATGTGTAAAGAATATATGTAGTTAAATTTTAATTAAGGATGGAGCTTTATTTAGGATTCCCTGGTAATACCACCACAGGACCACTCATTGTGGTTTACATACTTTTGGCGTGGCAGTTGGAAAATGAGCCTGGGAACAGGAAGGCTTGATCTGATCCTCTTCCTGAGACTCCTTTCAACATGAGAAGGCAGTTAAACCACCCTTTGTCGCCATGATATACAGCAGTTTAATGGGCTGGAATGCAAAGCCTTTTACCACTCCACCTTTATCTATTTCTTTTACCCCAGTTTCCACTTGAACTGTATGACATTTATGAGGTTAAGATGTAAGACACAGTCACATTTGTCTTTGGTATAATCCAGGCAGATTTTCTCATAAAAAAAAAAAATAATGTCTTCTTTACAGTGTACTCTCTTACAGATTAAAGCCCAGCCGAGGCAGGGCACCACCTTTATGTGGGAATAGATTGCATCCCTAACTTAATGAATTGGTTTTCCACACCCCAGTTTTCTATTTCTTCTTTCTGTTCATAAAAGAAATACATGCTTTTATACAGAGGTTGAAAACAACTACTAGAACTCACTGATCCTTCAAATAACAGTATCACTACTCACAGTTTAACTTGTTTCTTTCTAGTTGTGTGTGTAGTTTCACATCTTTTTCTCACAATGTCTCTGTTATTTATACCCTGCTTTTAAAATTAGAATGTAAAATTTATTAAATCCCTTTAATTTTATCACAGACATTTTGGAATATTCATTAAAATGTGCAAAGGTCATGTGGTTATCTTCTACTTGTTCTCATTTGTACATTTATATTTGCCTTTGTTAATTTTATCAAACGTAATTGTATAGCATACAAAGTTTTATTTATTTTTTTTTCATATTTGCATTTGCCTAATGCACATACTTTTTACATGTTGTCATAAACTATAAAGAACCATAATTTTACATGGATATAAGGTATTCCATGTAAATATAATTATTTAACCATTCTGACATTCTCAGCCAGTTAGGTTTGTTTTCTAGTTATTAGAGAAAAAAAATCCACATAATGAATAGTAAGTATTATTTTCCCAGGGATCAATCCTAAAGAAAGAGTTGCAGAGTGGAATGACTGGGTCAATTGTATGAGTAATTGAGGCTCATGAGATACTGATTCTGACCAGGTAGCTAGTAGTGATCACTGACAGCAGCAGCTGCACTTCCCTCATCCTCAGGAGCCCACACTGTTCTCTCACTCACCTGGTACAGTGATCAAATTTTTTGTACCAAAGCTCAGCGTAGTGTGCAAACAGGTGGAAGAACAATGGCAATTGATAACAATTCTTGGCATATGAGTATTTCACTAGCACATAAGTGAAATCTGTTTTTGCCAATTTAGTGCAAGTCATAAATTATATTTTCGTTTTCCTCCTGGAAGAAATAAAGTAAAATTTGAAGAAAGCAGTTTGTTAACCTAAATCTCTCTAGAGTTAAACAAATGAGTCTTTCATTTAAGAATTTGTCTTTTTTACAATAAAACTGTTCTTTGATGGAATGAGACAGTTTTTTCCTTCTGTACCAAATAGGATCTGAAGAAGAAGCTGAGGAAAAACAGGACAGTGAAAAACCGCTTCTAGAACTCTGAGTTCTATTTTATAAAAAGTAAGTGTTTGAAAATGAAACTTTAAGAGCAGAGTGGTTCACAAAATGCATTTTCTTTGAGTGGATTCAGAGTAAACTTCAGGGAATATGAGTACAAGTATATAGCCAAATTCATTATATTTACATGAAATCAGTAATCACATTTCCTTATGTAAAATTTTTGAATGTTTTCTGCATAGGGGTAAATTTGTAAAGTGGAAAATACCTCAGAGTCCTGAATCTCCAAAGAAAAAGGAGAGAYTCACATCTCCTTACTTAGAGTGTCTTTTTGTTTCAAACATTGTTTTAATTTCAAGCATTAACATTTTTGTGTTCCAAGGAGAGCAACCTGTGATATGTAGGGACTGTTATTACCACTGTGTCACATGTAAGGGAACAGTGGGTGAGGAATTTCCCCAAAATCATATAGCTAGAAGGAGAGTGTCAAGCTCAGACTTGGGCAGTGGGATATCTCTCAAAAGTTTTGGACTTCTGAGATAAAAACTGCTGGAAATTGAAAGCTYTGAGGCAGAACGCATTGTTAAACCCTTTTAGCTCCTCAAAAAAAAAAAAAAATTTCAGCCTCACAAATAGAAGGCCAATAAATAGCAAGTGAATAGTATCAGCGCCTCCTCCTAAATATTTCACCACAAAAGGAAAAAGTAGTAGACAGAATACGAGTCTCTGTAAAGACAGACAGAGGCAGTCTGGGCAACAGAGGCAGCCAGGTTTCTGGTGGAAGAGACCAGTGCTTGCATTGGTGGCACCTGACATACAACAGACGCTTCTCTCCACACAGCAGGGTAGAGAGGAGGCAGATACGTGGATACTGGAATAGTTGAACATTTTCTGAAATGCTTTAAAATAACTTCAGGTATGGCCACAGCCATGTTCTTTATGTGCCTTTATCACAGTTTGTCTTCGATATAGACCCTGTTAGGAAGATAAGAGGCAGTGCAGAATTTTGCCTCTTAACACCATACCTCAACCTGTTTGTCTTCACTCTTTTCCTAAGTGTGAAGAACCCTCACTGAAGTCATCCGAGGGAAGAAGATGGAGATGGGGTCTCCCTATTGATAGTTGAAATGGCGACATCCACTACTGACTTTGTTGAACAGCTAGTAAACTTTTATTTATGGTGATACCTCACGGACATTTTCCCACATCCACACACATCCAGTCTCCTGCCTCTGGCTGGCCAGGTCATGTCATGATTATTCCTCTGTTCAGTGAGACTGAGTCTGACCTGTCAATGAATAATTGAAGGAAAGTTGTATGTGTGCTGTATCCTAATCAAAAGACTTCTTAATATGTTGAAATAACACTTTTCTAGTAAGTGAAATACCTTTTATTTCAATTCACAGGATGAAATTTTTTGTTTGTTTCATGTCTCAGATTTCTTTTGTATTTCATTTATTAACACCCTACATTTCCCTTGTGTTTTTTTTAACTCATGCACATGTGCTCTTTGTACAATTTTTAAAAGTAATAAAATCCAGCATATCAAAATGATTAGTTGTATTTTCTTGGTTTACTAATGTCTTTACCCTAAAGTGTTGGAATAAAGAAAGAGGACAAGGAGGGATTGTGAATACATGTAAAATGGTACCATATATTTTATTATTTTTATTATAAATTTATATCTTTCTCTGAGATATAATTCTGAAGTGTCCATAAAAGGACTAAGAAACCATTGTTATCATTTTTCCTTTGTGTTTTATGCTATTTTGAATTAAAATGAACTAAATTATATYGTGAGTTATTTTTCAAACATGAATATTTCCATAACTGCTTCAAGAGAGTTAGCATACCTGTTAGTTTTCCATCCTTCATGGTGCCATTCAAGAAATTGTATATAATGGTGATGATGTTGATTTAGGTGGAACCTTATGATTTGTGCAGCTCCAAGCCTTCCTGCTGTGGTGCTTGTTCTAAGTGTGGGTCAYATCTCAGCAGTGTGAATTGGAGGTTGACTCAAAGGCTGGCATCTGACCACAAGGAGCTTCAYATGGTGGAGAAGAGCCAGGAAAGTCCCCAGGGTCTGTTCTAGAGACTGATACATAAGGAACTCAATAAAGTTATCTCAGTGTCAGTTTCCTTTCTCAGAAGTGGAGTTGTATATATACCAAACCCAGAGATAAGGCCCAAGCAGGACATCAGGTATTTAAATTTATCTACAGGAAGAGTACTTCCCCAAATGAGATCGTTTGAGGAAGTAGGGTGCTAGGCTGCCAATCATTTTAGGAAAATAATTCTCACTCATAATATGGTTTGAGCATAGAACAAGAAGAATGATGGAATAATTGCAATACGGCATGAAGTCAGACTGGGAGCTTAAAGCAATTATCTCAGAAATAGTTATATTTCCCCTTGGGAGTGCACAGATGAAACTAGGGTCCTGGGGAGCCATTCTGGTAGGTAGGGTGCGGATGGAAGCGTTTTCTTTTTATGCTCACATTGCTGAACAACACTCTTCTGTCTGACCTCAATCACCTTTTCATCTCAGGTTAATGTCCTCTGTTGAGCCTTGCTTAGGTTAACTCTGAAGTCATCCTGTCCTTGTAAATGGGCTTCACATTGTTCAGCATATGACTTTCAGTTATACAGTTGAGCTCCGTGGTTCTGTATCTCTGAGTTCTTGAAGCATATTGCCACTGCCCTCATCTTTGTGTATCTCTGCCAACAGCTTCGTGTACACTGGTCTTGTGTTACTCTCTACACCAAGAAAGTAAACTGAAAGGTACCAACCAGCATCCATAAATCAAGTACTTGGGAAAAGCACAGTCACTAGGTGGAATGTTGGGAGTTACCCTGGGGCTGCACATGACCTCTTCTCCATTCTTCAGGACAGTGACAGAATGGACAGAAGATGCAGTGTCCGAGAAATCCTGCCATCAGATTCCCAGTGCTCGGGCAGCTGAGGCACTTCCTTTGTCCCTGGATCACAGCAGGGAGAGCAGGTCCCATCTTAGTCTCACCATGTGAACTTAGATACCTCTTCTGACTAGCTGTAGGCTTCTGAAACAGAGCAAAGTTGGTTGTGGTTTAACTGCCCCCAACTTCTCTTCCAACACCTCAGCCACCTCTTGATACACAAACAAGTAGGGTCGGTTTGACTTTAAGCCTTTTCCCTGAATCAACCACACTTGACAGAGCAAAGAAACAAAAGAAACCTCAGAAACTAAAAACTGCATCAGCCACACCAGCACCCATCCCCCACCCACTCTGTGTCCCCCACCACCAGAGCTCTCCCTTTCTGTACTGCTCAAATTCAGGACTGTATGGGGGAGGAAAGGGTTTCAGGTTGGAAACCACAGAGGAGGATGCTTAGTGCCCAGCCGGTTATGTCAGCCCACAAAGCTCTCAGTGATCTCAAATATTCCTGCCTTTGTGTCTGCTTTCCCAGGGCAGGGAGGGTTCMGCATCTCTCAACACGGGAGGAGTATATGGCTGAAGGAGCCATGGTCAAAGCAGGTGCATCAAGGAATTGATCTAAATCTTTTTGAGTCTGGTTACTCTTMTTTTGTTTCATAATGGGAATCTCTGCTTATTTTCCAAAGAATGTGCCTCACAGAAAGTAAAGGTGATTGTAAATGAGCAAAACATTTCCAATATTAAAAAATAAGACATTTTTTAAATTCAAACTTTTAAACTTTTCTAACTTTAAAAGGTTTCATTAATATAGAAAAATATACATTATTTTTAATCACCTACCATACATTTAATGTTTGTATCATTTCCTACAGAAATGCAGACACACAGAGCAAGAAGTATCATATTTCTTAGTATTATTACTCAGTAGTAAAAATGATCAGAGGACCAGAAMTTTGCAAAGTTACATAAATAGATGTTAAATGAAAAGATGTTTATCCTCACTCATAATGAGAAAGAAAACAGTAATTAAAACCTCAGTGAGATTCTRTTTTTCACCTATCAGGTTAACAAAGTCCTGATGTTTGACAACATACTCACAAATTCATATACATGGGGATAGGCAAGCTATGTGGGGCTGTCTGTGGAGGGCAGGTTGGCAGGACACACAATCAGATGGACATAAAACTGGTGATTCATAGTATCAATAAATAAACCAAGGGCCTATAAGAGGAAACTGATGTTATGTAATTTATGTTCACCAGGGAAATACCTCTGGCTCTCTAAATATATATATATATATATATATATATACATAAAATGAGATCTCAAATTTATAAATGAAAAAGTGCAGAATAATATATACTATATGTAGGAAAGCATAATGGGAATATACACCCGTATGTATGTTTATATGTATTCCTATTCACAGGAATTTAAAGTAAAATATTTGGGGGTTTCAGCCATGTGAATGTATTATATAATGATTTCAGGAAGTTTATCCTATTACAATATTATATTGTAATATCTAACATCCTGATTATTTTCCATTGCTTTATAGGAATTTGCATTTGTGAAGATGCGTATTTGTCTGTCATTTGACATCCTTGATTAATTTCTTATTGGACATATGTGTTAATTTGAGGCTAGTGTATGTAGTGCTATACTGAAGGAACATCCTTGTGTATAATTTTAGCAYATATATTTTGTTTCCTTTGATAACTGATGAATCAAATAGTGTAAACTATTTCCAGATGAATCATGTTCCTTATATGAGTGCTGTGCTCTCTCTAGGATGATGACCATTTGTGGCTTGCATCTGCGACAGCCATGTTGGAGTTCTGGAGTTGTTTAAGTCACTTGCTGGTCTCAACCCAGGCTGTACATTAGGATCACCGAACAATTGTTTATAAGTTCCTATACCCGGCCTGTGATAAGGTCTGTCTCAGTGACTCTCAAGGGCTCCTATGAAGACAGAGAGACCCATAGGTAGAATGGACAGAGCAACAGATGTCCAGTAAGACTTGGAATCATGTGGACTCTGGGGTTTATTCAGTGTTCAACACAGGCATATTTAATACTGTGGCTTACTGGTTATCTCTGCGCATATTTAATTTTAGAGTTACTGTGTGATTAACCTGGGGTCTCTGAAATCTGGCTTGATGTAGTAAAATGGACATAATGTCTGTATGGTGGTGCAGTTGAGACATTGGAGAGAAGGTGGACCTCCCTGCAGAATTCCTGATGCTTACTACATGGTAGGTATTTCCTATTAATTCAAAGAAATCAAACAGCAAACAAATAGCCTAACAGAAGATGATGGAAATCATGCATTCAGTTATGTAAGTGTTCATGGTTCATAAGAATGTTGAGTTTATAGCCTTTCATATGAATTATGTATCATCTTGCTTTTTATCAGTTTATGTCTTAGTCCTCTAATTTTCTGGTTGGCGATTATATAGGACTTTGAGGAACAGAATGGAGAAATTCAGCTATTGTTAATTTGGCCCATTTTCTAGACAAAAAGACTTCAAACAATGAAGTCTATGAATAAAATAATTCCAGATCATTAAAGAGAATACATAACAGGGGCCAAATGCAGTGGCGCATGCCTGTGATCCCAGTGGCTCTGGAGGCTGATGCAGGAGGATTGCAAGTTCAAAGCCAACCTCAGCAACTTAGTGAGGTGCTAAGCAACTCAGTGAGGCCTTGTCTCTAAATAAAAAAATACAAAAGGATTGGGAACGTGGCTCAGTGATTAAGTGCCCCTGAGTTTATTTCTTGGTTAAAAAAACAAAAACAAAAACACAYGTAACAGGGGCAAGTCTTAATGTTTCGAGAATTGTTGCCTGGAAAATTTCTCTTTTGTAAAATAATTAAGAACATATGAGGGGCTGGGGTTGTGACTCAGTGGTAGAGGACTCGCCTAGAATGTGCAAGGTTCTGGGTTCAATCCTTGGCACCACATAAAAAATAAACAAATAAAATAAAGGTATCGTGTCCACTACAACTAAAAAATAATTATTAAAAAAAGAACATATGAACTTTTATTCATCATTTTTTCTTATACTTGGGAAATGTATGGATTACTCTAGCCCTACAGTGACTATTGAGACATGACTGTCTTCATTTGGAATTGTATAAACCTTTGCCTCAAGTTTTCATCAAACACCTGTGGATGCAACCTGCTGTTCTAGTCTGTATTTCATCCAGCTATGTGCCATGGACTTGAATCATAGAAGGCCTATTGGTGGATGAGAGATCAGTGTGTTAAAAGCCTTCTCAGCATGAAAAATTATGTGGCAGTTGGCCTCTAGCCCTTTAATAAAAATAATAGCACAGCAGCCTGGAGAGGAAATACAGGAAGGTAATGAGGATACAGAATTTTCTAAAAGATAACTTGAGGGCAGGGCTCCTGAAGCCAGGCTGCTTAGCTTCAAGTGCCAGCCTTTTTGATTATTCCCTCTATAGCTATGGGAAGTTCCTCAGCCATTGCCACCTCAGTTACCCTTTGTGTAAAACAGTTAGTTGTACATATCTCCTAGGCTGTTTGTGAGAATTAAATGAGGGGACATGTAGCTAATCCAGCACCTGGTACATAGTAAGCATTATAAAGCAGTTGCTATTATTACTTCATTGGGATGTCAATCACTGAATTTGAAACTGTAATCTTCAATCTTAACACATTCTTCTAAGGATGGATTAAACATAGTGTGAGAATAAACTATAATAATAATGTGCTATATATTTCACAGAGTAAAGAAAAATGATCTTGGATGTTTTTATGACTAAAAATGATACATGTACAAGGGGATAGATATGCTTATCCTTATTTGRACTTACACAATGTATACATGCATTAAACCATCATGTATTTCCATAAATATGTTTTATGTGTCATTTTAAATAAAAAGAACAAATGGTATAGCTAGTTAGAGCCATACTGAGCAGCCAGGGCTCTAACTGGCTATGAAATGTGATTTTTGGTCCAGGATTCCTTCCATCATGCCATGGGACTTCTCTATAAGGGGCAGTTGTGCTGTGGGGGTAAAGATTGGACCAAGAAGGTTGCATAACCTACCTCCTTCTTTGATTCCTTAGGATGTTCCTCAAGGTGATTGTGAGGACATTAGGGCCCAGTAATTCTACTGAAGGAGCTAGGATATCACAATACTATCCATGTCCAGAGAGAACCATTAAGGGTCCTCTTGTACATGAAGCTCAGCCTACTTCCCAACAAGAGGACACACTCTCAAAAAGGAAGGCAGAGCTTCCATCTATGGCTAGCGGACAAATTATGGTGATTACAGAGTAGGTCACAATTTTATCTAAAGAGGAAAGACAAATTGGAAATTCGTATGTATATGAAGAGAAAACAGATGTACTCACAAACCTTTAAGAAAATTCTCTGACTCATTGTAGGATGCCTTTAGTAAAGCAGCAATGCATGTGTTTGATTTTGTTTTGTTTCTCCAAATTGATAGTGGATAAAAGGAAGACATGATATTGGGGCAATTATACACACACACAAACTAGGTTACACTGGACCTGACTTTAAATCAATACTATTACTTAAAAAAACTAGTGACTTTATAGACTGTAGGCCATAATTGTGCCTACATTGAAGGAATCTTACAGGATTCATGGATTGCCTGGTGCACCRTAGTAGCTAAGTCCCTGCTCTATTCCACCCATCCTCTGCAGAAAATTGAGAACAGATCATCCTTGGTGCTTTGCTGATATATAAATGTGTTATAAACTATTTCTGGAGTTCAACACATACAAATGCTATGGATGACTTGCCTGAACCAAGCATTACTAACTCATGTGACCCATACAATTCTATGACACAGGATTTTCTAACTTCATTTTATAGGAAGAAATTATGGCACAGAGATTGCAAATCTCTGAGGTCACCCAGACATTAAATTCTAGACCCAGGATTGAAACCCAAGCTATCTGGGTCCTTCATCCATATCCTCAACTCCTCTGTCTCACTGCCTCTTGGGTTTAGTGCAATATTTACATTGGTATTGTGAGGACCAGGAAACAGTGCTTTTGAAATGCTGGTACAGAGCTGGGCACACACAGTGCAAGTCATGTTTTCCTATTTTCATGGGAATGTCTTAAACAAAATGAATGTCAATCTGTTACCTTTAAAAGAGCAGTAATATGACTCTCCATTTGGTTCTGACTCCTGTTGGAGCCAGTGCCCCTAGGAAAGCCCCAAAATTCCCATCTCAGGGATAGAAGTGAAAATTGGTGTTGGATCCTTGTGAATAACCATGGCTTGGAGTCATGATTCAGTTGTCATGCTGCTTGTCGCTTTGAACTTTCAATTTATTTCCATCAAATTAAAGTCCACATGGCCCAAAGTAGACTGTTGTGTTTATTATGAAAAATAAAGAACAGAATTCAAGTAGCAAAGAAGGCAATTTCAGGATGTGTGGAATGGAAGGCTTTAAGGTGGTCTCTGGTTAAAGGGCACTAAGGGTTGTGTCTAGAAGCTGTCCATTGGCCCCACAAAGGTTGAGATGATTTGGGCTGGCTGGAGGGGCTGATGGGACTAGAAACACAGGGACTAGGTGCCACTAACTCATTGTTACAGAGTGCAGTTGCTTCATTTGCCAACTGGTTAGAGAAACCCTTACTGCAATAGTGACAGAATTATATTGGTGAGAACCCAAGGAGCTGTAACCCAGCAAGCAAACTTAGCCAGGTCCTYGGCAGACACTCTTCAGGACAATAAACCAAGAACACAACACAACTCCGTTGTGCCACCATTTGTTAGGTACTYTTCCCATTTCTACCGACAGCTGTTTTTCTTAGCAGACTGAAGGTGATGAAGGCCAAGTAGACCACACTCTTGAGGAGTAAGAGGAGGTAGGTCCAGTAGACAGAGGTGTTTGTGAGCTGCAGCCTCAGTGCATCTAAGAGAAGTCAGGTAATTAGTTTCACTTGTTCTTTTGACATGATAGAACCCCTCATGGGGGAAGTTTCCACAGATGTTTATTTTTGGTGACCTACACTGAAGTGACACCACCCCCACCAAACCCCAAAGGTCAACATCTACCACTCCCACCCAAACCACCAAGAGCAAGGTTCAGATTGTAAGTCAAGTTGATTACCAATATTTGCCTTACTTACTTAGAACCTTCCTAATATTTAAAAGAATCCATGTTTAATGGATGTGTCTATGGGGAACAAAAGTATGTGTGATAACTAGATGTTAGAATTTCTTTGCCCCAACCTGTCTCTAAGTACAAATAATATATAATATTCATTAACCATTAATCAAATGACACAGAGTATGTTAAGAATTAATTTACATGTAAAATTTTAGTTTTATTTAATCTGTATAGTAGCCTATACAAAATGGAAATAAAGTCTAGTCTGTGGTACTCCAAAGCCCATGCATCTTCCCACCCAAACATATATGTCCATGGTGTCTCAGAGTCTTGACTTTGGAATTTCTTGCTTGTGACTCTCTTAGAGGAAGAATGGGGAAGTGTATAAGGGTATGAACACTATTTGATGGCATGAGTTGAACACTTGATATAGCTGTGTGGCATGTGCAAGGGACTTAATTTATTGCCCTCATCTGTAAAATGATAGAAAAATATGTACCACATTATTGGAATTTTATGAGGATTAATCAAGGGAATACATGCTGAACACATCCTATGGCCTTCTGTRTGAACTGGACTTCATAAATCCCAGTTCATGTTATTAATGACTAACAAAATACTAAAAATCAATTAATAATTAAAAAATCTAAAAGTCGCTGTCTACCATGCTTTCCCTAATTTCTAGGAGAAAAAAACATGAATGAATGAAGTGTGCTAAAATAGTTCAGCACATACCACTGCATGTTCTCATTTATAGTTGTCTCATATGAAAACACATTGTTTACTATGATAGTATAATGCCTAGGAAGTGATAGATTAAATAAATACCCAGTCTTTTCTGCAAAATCCAGCCATTCTGATTTTTCTACATTAAATGAAGGAAGTTCAAAAGTTAGAATGATCAGGAGTGGGAAAAGCTATAGCATGAGATAAAGGAAAACACACACTAAAAATTATGATTTTACCTTTTGAATAAGCTTCAGATTCAGTAGTATTGACAACTAGAAGAAATAAGAGCAAGTAGAAGTCAATTATCCATGTCCAATTATCCAATGTCCATTATCAACACTGGAGAGAGAGTCAACCAAAACTTAATATCTATGAGCGACCATTGCTGTGCCAAGCACTGCTAAATGTTCTACACTGTTTACATCTCCAGTGACACATAAGTGAGTTCAATTATGGATGGTAACCATTTTATGAATGAGGAATTAATTATAAATGGTTAGCAGAAAATCATCAGGTATCTTAATTATTCTTAGCACATATCCTTTTCTCTTTTYTCTCTCTCTCTTTTTTTAACCATAGACTCAGCATTTCAGTGCAAGTCTTTCTAATGACACAAGATAGGAATTTTTACATTCCTAATTCTCTGAACAAACCTAAGGTGAGAGCTGCATTTATCTATCATGACTCCTAGGAAATGATGGATTAATTAAAATGTCACTTGGTCTATTCTGACACATATAATCATTCTGATTTCTCTAACTTACACGAGGGAAGTTCAAAAAGTAAGATGCTCAGGAGGAGGAATATTGTATAACAAGATACGAAGGCAAACATGCTAAAACCTACCATTTTCACATTTCAGATCAGCTTTTCTGGCATTAATAGTGGTGACAGCTAGAAGAAAAGAGCAAGAATGAATCAAGTATTCTTGTCTATTATTTGAAAGTTTATGTATGTGTACACATACACATATTTATATGCACGTAAATAAATATACACTCATCTCTGGAAGCATAGAAGACATAATCATTAAAACTGAGTCCCACAGTTCCAAAAATAGTCTGATTCCAGATAATTGAGCAGCTATCACTCATATAATATTTTTCTGCACACAAAGATATTGAAATTCATGAAAGAATCTTTTTTCCTTTTTTATCATAACTGGATTGTAATATCCAAGACTGTCTGACTTTCCTCCTTACTCACAGCTCCTCACAAGTAGGCACAAATACGTCAGTGGGGAAATAAACAGAATTAGCTGCTTTTCAGGTTTCTGCTCACACTCCTAATATGATGTTACACCTAAAATGAATCTGTCCAATCTTAGAGTCAATGACAGAACCATGCACATTTGAAGGAGTCTCATTTAGAGAAATTTCCTCTGCTTAGTACTTTTCTAAATCATGCATATCCCTAATATTCCTGGTTCATGCACACAATTTCCTGAAGGTTTGGYGTTTGTAGGCATGAGGATATCAATATTAATTAAAGTTCATATACATTGAGTGATCCYTGTTTGCCAGCACTGTGTTAAATGCTTCACATGAATTATCTTGTTTAAATCCTCAGTCACACTTAAGTTTGAGTTGTACTGTGGCAGGGGCAGTTACTGGGGATTAAACTCAGGGTTGCCTTATCACTGAGCTCTATCCTTAGTACTTTTAAAATTTTATTCTAAGTCAAGTTTCACTAATTTGCTGAAGGCTGGTCTTGATTTTCAATTATCTTTCCTCAGCCTTATGAGTCACTAGGATTGCAAGCACACACTACTACACATGGCTGAGTTGCATTATTGAGAGTCTCATGTCATGAATGAGGAGATAAAATTTGAAGAATTTATATAACTAACCAAGAGTCCTATCAGTGAATTGCTGAGTAAATATCTGAAGATATCGAGGGGAATTTAAAACAAAATGTGGAAATTACTTTGCATATAAATACAGAGAAAATAATTTATATAGAAACAATACAATTCCACCACTCTGGACACTAAGAAAATCCTCTAGAACCTTGGTTATTCTTAGAAAATGCCTTTAAAAAAATAGGTGCTGAGCATTTCAGTGCCATTCTCTCTGGGGATAGATAGAAACATAGGCCAAATCACATTTTTAGTTCTTGGAATAAAACTCAGAGTGACAGTTGTATTTATCCACAGTTAGGAAACAAAACTAGAGTTATCTGCTATTACTCTTTCCCCAGTCATTACACACAGTAGACAAATGAATGAATGAAGTCCCTTTGTTGAAATGCTTCAGAGCCTATGGCTCTTATTTACAGTCATCTCATCCCAACATCAGTAGTTTACTGTGTTAATATGATGCCAAGGAAACAAAGGACAACTTAAAGTGACACTCAGTCCATTCTGGAACAACSAGATATCCTGATTTCTCTGTCATAAGTGAGGAAGTTCAGAAGTTAAGATGATCAGATGAGGGAAAATGATATCAAATGAGGTGAAGGCAAACACACACTAAAACTCACCAGTTGTAACTTTCAAATCGGCTTCTCTGGGATTCATAGTGGTGACGACTAAAAGCAATAAGAACAAATATCACTCAATTATTCACGCCCATTATTTTAAAGCATGTGAGTGTGTGTGTGTATGTAGACAAGGGTTGTTTTGATTGGTTCTTTTTCTAATAGACATGTTCTTGTCTATATGAATATACTTACACTCTACAATATTATTGAACATTGACTTATTTTTGTGTGTATTTTAAAAATGGAGTCGAGGTATAGGCCTTAGGGATAAGTCCCTAGAAATAAAATATCAGTATGGTAATATTTGAATTGAAAATATCATTAAAAACTGACTTTAATGGAGCTAAACAGTGTATCTCTCAGTGGTATAGTGCTTGCCTAGTATGTGTGAGGCACTGGGTTTAATCCTCACCACCGAATAAAAATAACTAATAGAATAAAGGTATTGTGTCTATCTACAATAACAAAAAAAAAAATTGAAAAAAAAAGGTGTATCTCTTTTCTTAGAGTGATATATTCACTAAAAGATAAATGAAAATCATTATTACCAGGAATCATTTGAGGTAAAGAGAAGAAAGTACAGTCCCTAAGTAATAAAATTTATGTGTTTTCTAAGTTCTCTCAAAGTTTGTTGTAAACATGGAAATACCATTTTATCTCCCTTCAAAATAATTACTTCATTAATTCATTTCCATGTGCTATTTTTCAGCTTTTACCAAATGAAAACAAAACAAACCAAGACAAACCAACCAAACCAATAAATAAATAAACAAACAAACGAACCTTCAAAAAGCAGCTTTGGAAAAGATGACATTGACAAAAGCTTCCTCCTCAGCTCTGGGGCCAGAGAAGCCCATGAGAAACATTTTAGAAATCAGTGTCTATTAAACTATTATTAAACTGGAACCTCTCTCTTACACGAGATTCATCACCATGGAACTTAATATTCTTTTTAATTTTYCCCGATCACTAGAAAAGTCTGAATCTAATTGGACACTTATGCACAATGGTTAAGTTAACCTTGTGTTTGCATATTTGCCTCCCCTCTGTTTCTCAGCATGGAAAACAGAAAATTGGGGTTGGTTTTGTATTACTGTTTAGTTGATTTTAGGAAAGGATGTAAGTGCAATAAATATAGAAATATCTGAATCCATGCTCTATCTTTTTAAGAAAATGATTTTTTCCTAACAGCATTTCACTTGATCTTTGTCATAGCTCCTGGGAAAACCAGGCAACTGTTCAGACTTCAGTAGTGATTGCAGAAAGTTAGGGTCCCAGCGACTAAAGGCTTACTTGGGAAACTGGGATGGACTATGGCAAAGCTCTTCACCCCATTTGCCACGTGCCAGTTTCTCACTGGCACAATAGGGGCTCGGAGCCGCAGGGAAAATTACAAAGAGATTGCTTCCCATGCCCATGAGGCCATATGGACTGCTGTTTAACACTCAGGACTGTGAATATGCAGTGAGTCACTGAACCACTGCAAGGCCTCTGCACATTCAGGCTTCTGCCTATCTGTGTTGGATATGTACCAAAGGATTCCTTTGGGACATCGTGCCTGAGTCCTATGTGGTCCTAAGTGACAGGGAAAAAAGATTCTCTCTTGACTGCAATACGTCCTACTGGCAGCACTAATTCTAGAATATTCATCCACATTCCAACTCAGGCCTGGCATATGCGAATAGAACAGGAAATGTTTATGTAGCTACATTTACCAATGGAAGGAGAAATTCGTCAAGGAAAAATGGAGTATCTTCATACACRTTAGGCTCATTGAAGCATAAATTATGAAATTCTTTCTAACAGTGATATATAAAATAAAATCAGAAATACTTAAAACTAACATAAAACTTCAGTGGCCAAGATTATTCCAAATCTTTTGGTGTTGTTGGGCCATGCTCCTGCTCTTTTGTCTAAGCATATTTTTTTCAATTAAGAACTCATTTTAAGTTAATCTGTGCATAGCAAGATTGAAGTGGGCAACTTTACTTGCTTCATAGGACATTCCTGAAATATACATAATCGTTTTGATTTCTAAATCAGGTAAAATCATCAAAAGTAGAAACTTCTTTTTAATATTTTACAAGTATTGAGATACTTTAATGTGTCTTATTTCATATAGTCCACATAAAAATTATAAAACACATCCTGTAGTTTTAATACTATAAATGTTAAACTGAGGCTGAGAAAGCTGAAATAAATTTTTCAGAGTTTTCTCCAAATTATGTACCATTTCATTTCTATGGGGAAAATCACAGGATATATATTCTGCCATTAAACATTATTATATTTAAGAAAGATTTAGACTTGATTTCATTAATGCTTGGTAGGAAAGATGTGGTATTCCCTTTCAAATTTTTTTTCTGGAAATTTATGTTTACATTTAAATGCACATACCTTTCCTTATTGCAGGAAAGAGAATCTCTTGATCAACTCCTCTTTTATTATTCTCGTGTTTGACGATACACCTSTGCTCTTTATCCATTGACTCTCCAGTCACRGTTAGCCARCTCATCTTCATGTATGTGTTGTTAGTCTTCATGGTATTTCCCTGATAGGATTCCAGAATCCTATCACCTCCTTTTTCTTTCCAATRTACCTTAATAACATCAGGGAAAAAGTTCTCCAGAAGACAAAGATATGTCCCAGCGTTATGGAGATTTGTTTCRGCAACCGAAGGAAGAAAAATCGTGGGCTTGGGGTAAATGTCTGCATTAAAGCTTTTATCTGTGAAGGAAATGGAAAATAGATTTCAAAAGGTTATTAGACAGTTACAAACATTTCTTGGTTTGGAATAACCTAACACATATCAATAGGAAGACAAGTTACCATTGAATTAGTGCCCACCATGGCCTTTTATTCCCCATAGGTTGCAAGGAGCTTATCATAGTCCTTATTTTATAGATGTGCAAAAAGGCTCAAGAGGTTAAGTAACTAGCCCAAAGACACAGCTATGAAGTGGAAGATCTAGAAGGAAGCTTGACTTTTGTTCTTTTTTCCACATGCTAAGAGAGGTGTGACCTTTAATCATTCCTGAAGGAGGCTTCCAACATTCTTGAACCCATTAACTTTTTGTTTACATCTCCTTAGTTTTCTCCTAGTAGAGTATGTGTTGTCATGATGGATGAAGAGGAGCAGAAGACAACCAGACCTTTTTAGTGATCTTTCTAGATGAGGCTCTGTGGGCCCTTCTAAAGTACTTCCCTTGTCCATCCTTTGTCACTTCTGCTCTCTGGACATGTGACTCACTGTCTCATGCTCTGCAACTCTGCAAACCAGTCCTTCATTTAGCTAATTCTAGAATTCATCCTATTTATCTTATTTCTCATAAAAATAAATGCCAGGAGGCAGCTTTTCATTTTTCTTTGTAACAATACACTGTTACTTGTTTTAATAGGCCTCTACTTCCATGT